CCCCCACCGACACACGCTCCTCTCCCAGGGTGGGCAACGCAAGCACCTGCTCCCAGCACCCGGGGGAAGCCCCCTGCTTTCACCCCCCAACGCCATCCAAGCAGCGCAGCAAGCATCAGCCGCCCCTGACGGCAGAAAATCTGGCTATTTCAGCCAGCGACAGTGAGTGAGGAGCCCTGGCTCTGGCTCCCACTCAGCCCCTCCTCCATCCCCCCCCCACCGCCCCTTGGCCTCGGTTGATCCAACACCTACAGGTGGATTTTGTGAAAGAGCGTAACAATCCCATGATGAGTCCAGTCTTTTCCCAGATGTGGCAAGATGTGCCCAAGAGCATCCGACCTAGAAGGAAAGGAGACCGGGTTAGGATGATCCAGCCCAGCAGGTATCTGGAAGGCGGTGGGGTTTGTGGTCCCTTCCGGCTGCTAACGCAAACCTTGAAAAGACACTTTCCCCTAACAGGGGAGGAACGGGGATGTGGGGTGGGAGAAAGGCCCTTTACTTGGTGATGGTGCCGTCAATGTCCGAGATCACCACCTTGTCGTCCCAGTTCCACAGGTAGATGGTGGCCTCGCAGCGGCACGTGCCCTGGTACTGAGTTGTCACGCTGAACGCCACCTCGTTGGGGCCGTCCTGCAGGTTCAGCCTTCCCTGTGACAGCAGGGGAACACATGCAGTACACCAGCACTGACTGACATCAGCCCAAGGCTTGCCAGAGGCCAGAATGCCACCCAGCCAGAGCAGAGACCCCGAGCCTCTACAGGGTGACCACCCAGGGCAAAATACTTAGATGCCGTATAAAAACACGAAGTTAGGAGTAGAGAAGTCCCCGTTTCAGGGTTGTCTCCCCCCTGCACACACAAGCAGGCAGCAAAGGAGCAGGAGTGAAGTACATACGATTTGTTCAGAGGAGAGTCGCAGGGATTTCTTGTAGGCTGGCTGAGATTTCTGTGCAGGGGCATCCACTGCTAACATGGCTCCAGGGTGCCGGGGCTCATCATCACTGGTTGACACCTCCTCCTCCTGCCTACACAGGGAAGGGAAAAGCATGTTGGCTTTACTCTGTAGACCACAGCTTCCCCCGTGAGCACCGGGGGAGATCTGGAGGGGACCCAGGACAACCCACCCACCAGGAAGCAGCCATGGAGGACCTTGGCTGCACCCAGGCCAGCCAGAGCCTTAACGGGGCTTTCCACCCTCATACATTAAGGTAGACTTGGGAAAAACTGTTCATTTAGGAGGAGGAGAGATCAAGAGCATGCACAGACCGCTAAAGGCAGCCTGGGAGGGAGGCACTCACCCCTGCTGAGCAGAGTCGTGCTGCAGCGTCCCGGCGCTGGCTGTCCCTGGCCTCGGCTGCTGCAGGCAGAGAGCAGTGTCCTTAGCACCTCAGAGCCAAGGGCAGGAGCAGGGGCTGCTTCGCTTCACTGCCACTCAACGTGGCGATACCAGAGGAGAGGTGGCAATGAGTCTCCCTGCCCTCACGAGGACATTGCCCCATGGAAGAGGAACCACAACCTGGGGCTGTGGTGGGGCAGGGAGATCGGCAAGCACACGTGGTGCCTGGGCTGTGGCATGAGGGGCACAAGGTCCACTCTACTGCGTTACCAGTTGTTGGTAATGCTGGTTAATGCTGCTCCAGGCATTTAACAGACCTGAGGGGACAGCAACAGCCTTCAGAAGTCAACTTTCCACCCAGGTCCCTCTAGCCACTCTCATATTCAAGCTCAGGCCATCCCCGGGACCCTGCTGCTCTCCTGCCCCCACCCCTGCCAGCTGCCAGAGTGACTCCTGTGCCCTGAGGCCAAGGTTGGCACAGCCGCCACTGC